CACACTCAGTAGAAGAAACAAAGATTTGAGAGAGAAGAGAAAATATTTGAGAGAGCGCATGTTTTGAATGTGAGCATTATAAGTTTTGAGTGCAAGAAGATGAAATTCTTTTCTCAAATTGAAATTATGTGCTCTTGCATTATGGCAGGATAATTCTCCCATAGTCCTTGTCTTTGTCATCTTCTATATTCAGCTGGCTTTTGAAACCCATGGCGAGAAGGTGGGGGCCGGGTGGCGAGGGTTACGGGTGCGGGAAACGCAAAAGTAAAGCAATAGTTACATTTACTAGTAACTAGATACTTTTATTGTGAAGTAACTCAGTTAGTAACTCAGTTACCTTTGTGGAGAAGTAACTATAACTAATTACTTTTTCAAAGTAACGTGCCCAACACTGCTAATAGGGCACGGTTCCCTTTTTGGGGGCCTTAGTTTATTCAACTACTGTCATCCATTCCAGGTAGGCAATAAAAAGTTCTACTGGATTCACTTTGTATTAGTCTGTTTTTCCCTTCTTCATAAAGGTAGGCAGCAGCTTGACAAAGCCATGATTGCAATTATTTTACATCCAAGTAGTTTGTAGTTCTTCATATATATACACACACATCAATGCACCATCAGACAGATGGTATCGGTATCTGCTGATACTGCATAGCCAGGGTTTGGACATCGGGGCCAAAAAAATGGTATCGGTGCAACACTAATAGGTATACAGTGGGAACACCTTCATATCGCCCAGCCCTAGGTCCAATCAGAATATAGAAATTATCAGTTTTGATATTCTTATTGTTCAGTTTTACAGTTTTTGAATTCGTAATAATGTTTCAACTTTTCAGGAGTGCAGGATTTATATGCGTTGAAAGATTGGAAGAAAGTAATGTTACTAAACATGAGTGGCTCTCCGTCACTCATTTGTATGTGTGTAAATGTAGCTTTTGGAAGATAAAAGTATGGCGACCCCTGATCTGTAGCAATGTCTAGGTTCAGAGCACTTTTCTGTCCTGCAGTTTGGCTGAGGACAGCCAAAGGGACGGTTTAGAACTAAAGCCCCAGGTCGGATGTTATTTCACTCCTTCCTCCTTTATCCACCAGGGGCAGTGTTGGGTCGAGACGGCGGCGCTATGAAGCAGATGCTGCTGCCCTTCTGGCTGGGGCTCGGGGGAACTCTGGGCTCTGGAAGACAGCCGTTCCCTTGGATCCACGTCACGGATCTGGCAGGAATCATTGCTCGATCTCTGGAGCCTCCTGCCAACACTGAAGTCACACACTCCTCACCACAGGTGTACAACGGAGTAGCACCCGCGTTCACCACCAACTATGAGTTCACCAAGGAACTGGGTCGAATTCTGAGGCGGCCCACAATCTTTCCTGTTCCTGAGTTCGTCATGAGCACCCTGTTGGGCTCCGAGAGGGCCGTGATCCTCACTCAGGGACAGAAAGTTAGACCCATGAAGACTCTAGAGTCTGGATATCAGTTCAAATACCCAGACTTGACCTCAGCCCTGAAACAGATTGTAGGGAGTTAACAGATGCTGAACTTTATGATTGTGTTTCATGAATAAAAACTGTTGATTAAAGCTGCTCAGATTACAATTTGAATTTTATTTCCACAATACATTAAACTACACTAAAAAGGTATTTTCAAATAAAAGAATCTATCAGATTTCTTCAGACTCTATTATAGAATTCCACTATGATCACTATAAGATAATGCATATGTCTGATTAGTGGGTTTGTTTACAAAGGAAAAGGTAAATAACATTTAAAAGCTGCAAATTATTCCCATCTTCCACTGAAACGTTAAAGGTTTGCATTAGAATCTGTCACCTTTGACCATCAAATAGTAAAATTTTAAAACGGGACATAATCTTCTCATGTTGAACCCAACCAGCACTTATCAGAAGTTCCTGTTGCTCTCTGCTGCTTGCAGGTGTCAACAAAATATCCAGTTTTTGTAATATAAATTAGGGAGGCAGTATGAACCCAGGAAGGCTAAATAAAGTTTTAATAAAGTATTATATGTAGGAAAGTAGTTAATGCAGAGAAAAAGAATTTCAACATTTTTACTCCTGATAAATTCTATTAACTTTTAACATCAAATATAAGCTCTCTTTTCACCTAAAATGATGCAGATTGAAGCACTTAGCAGGAGGCTGCATCTTCGACCTAAAGCAGGGGCACCCAAACATTTCTGCATAGGCAAACATCTGACAAGTTTAAACTAGACACAAAAATGTTCCCTTTTTTTAAACATATATAAAAACACAACCATAGTTCTGTTGTAAAATTATTAAATAGTGTTTTAATGAAAGACTGATTTCTATTCTGAAAGGTTTAGTTAACATTTAAGATCAAAAAGCTAAAAAGGAAAAGAAAAAGAAAAAAAAGAAATGTTAGATTTTTTCAGTTTTTGTTGTAGCTTACATTTATGTTTTTGATATTTTGAATTTGAAACCAACTTTTTTTGTTTTGTTTGAAAATTTCGCTGTTAAATGCATGTTACCACCAACAGCCTGGACCAGTGAATTTAATTTGAGCCATTTTTAACTTTTGCTCAAGGACCACAGAAGATCCTTCCAATGGCTAAATATGGCCTCATTTTTAACACTGGGGTTTAAGAAGAGCCCAACTGCTATTCTTTATACTTCTTAAAAGGTTAGAGTCTTGTTGGTTTTTTACTTGACTTGACTTATCTGGGTAAATACCCAGTACAATCATGTTATCCTTGAGTTTAGCGACAGGAATAATATCCAAATCTTGGGGCCTATTTAATGAAAGCTTCATTCAGAAATCCCAGAATAAGGATAAAACCAGACTCCAGGTAGCGTGAGGAATGCATCCTTGTTTCATCCGTTCCACAAAGACCAGGCAGCTCCACTTCAAAGCATGGTGTATGTAATCAAACTAAATGCTTGTCTGTAGATTTCTTCAATAGACTAAAAGGTTGATCACGGATTCATTGATTCAGCAAACAACAGATCCACTAAATGCCTAAACTGCCAGTTAACGAAATCCGGAGCATCATTTAATTGTAATGTATCTTCCATCCAACACACCAATAACCTCGGGAAATGTTGCATCAAAAAATGAAAGTAGTCCAGCTGTTCTTTTCAGTGATGTGAAGTCTAAATCATGTTACATCCAATATTGTAGAGTCCCTCCTTGATATACTTTAATCTTCCATGGCCAGGAAAGTTATGAAGATGTACCTATCTTCCTTTTAAACCCACTTCTGATGGTGCATTTAATCGTTTCTTTGCTAAGGTTTTCAGCATCTATTTCTGCATACAGGAAAATATCATTAGAGGAAAATGAGCCCAGATCAGATCATCTGTGAGGCGGTAAAGGTGTGGCTCTGCTCTGTGCGATGCTGAATGATGGACCCAGTAGTCTGCACAGGTAGCAGATGTCCTCCATAGAAATACCTGCTCATGCAGGTAATTTAAAAAAAAACAACAATCAAATATACAGTAGGCATTTCTTTAATACCTTCAACACAGCAGGAATCCAACAAAGGCCTTTCTGTCGAACTTAGAACAGCAGCCGTCTTTAAAAAGAAAAGAAAAGCAACGTTCACAGAAAACTATAAGGTTAAAGATAATAAAGGCCAGTGATTCCCAACCAGGAGCAATGATTTGATCTGCAGGAGCTATGTGAAAACATTTAATATTTTACTTCCCAGATAAAGAAATACAATAAAATAGGACTGGGATGTTTTTTTTTTTTATCAGTAAGGGCAACATAAACCAAGATTTTATCAACAAAAAAAGATTCAAATCAATATTTTCATGAAAGACTAGAGTGGTTGTCGGTGCTGTGCACCTGCACGACTTCTCTGTGAGCTAGAGCAGGAAGCAGCGCAAAGTCAAAGAGAAGAAAGCACCAAAGCAGCTGCATTCAAGGCTAAAACATCCTATTGCTGGGGATTCAGGAGGGCAGGCGTTTCATTAACACAGTGAATGATGAAACCAAAGTAAAAGTGTCTATATCTAATATCATTTATTCATTTCCCCCCCCCGGATTTATAGAAGACTTGTTCAGAAGAAATCCAGTTTCCGTTAAAAAAACCCCCCGTAGATTTGTAACTTGATTTGATTTTGTATTTATTTCAGTACTTACAGGTATTCTTCACTTTCCAGGAAACACATTTATTTGAAATGAAATGAATGAAATGTCTGAGCATTAAATGTTAATTTTAAGGAAATTAAATGAATATTTTTCATTTTATGCTCTATCATACTATTTTTGGAAAGTAAAATGTTTGATGGGGGAACAAGGAGGTAGTCCTGGTGTGATAAAATGACCAAGGGGGTACATAAGTCAAAGAAGGTTGGGAACAACTGGTATACGCTACCATCATAATGTTAAAATATTGAAAGTACTTGATTTAATAGTATTAATTAGTGTTTTTATATAATGTAGAGAGATGGGGTACAGACATCACTGACAAACCTCATTGCTTTGATACATATGGCTTTTATTGGAATCAGGGGACCAGGATGCATAACAAGAATATAAATCATTGGGTCAGATGCTTTGGCCCACAGTCCAGTCACAGTAGATAAACTATCTGCCTCCACCGGCCAATGATCCCAGGAAGGAGAGAAAGTCTTTGGTTTCTGATCAGTGTCCCCTGACTAGCTTGGCCAGGAGCAGGCTAGCTGTGCAAGTTAGCATGGTTCCATGAAACCAAAGTGAAGTACGTAGGGCTCCGGAGTAATTCAACTACTCTCAACAAAACAGATATTTTCATCTGGAAAGTCTGGATGTTGGATGGAGCACATGACAGGAAATAAATATTTATAAACATTTAACCAAAGCCAAGAGTAACGAGTAACGTTTGTCTTAAAAATGTAAGGAATAGAAAGTACAGATACTTGTGTGAAAATGTAATGAGTAGAAGTCAGAAGTAGGAAGAACAATAAGTAATGGAGTAAAGTATAGATACCTAAAAAGTGTACTTAACGAAGTTTTTGTACTTTATTACTTGACACCTCTGATTTTGACATTTCTAAACTTTCATTTGATGCAAATTAAGACTCAAAAATACAACATCCAAATACTTATGGACTACAGTTGGGGAAACCAAACATATGTAAATGTTTAATAGAGACCTATAGACTTCCTGTAGTTTAGCAAACAGACATGTGGAATAAAACACTACAGCAGACGATCTGCCTTTAAATTCTGAAGGGATTTCTGTTTCCAAACAATCCAGAATTAACTAGTTTCCATCTGGATCATCTCTCCGAGTCGCTGTCGATCTCCTCTTCTTTGACGTTTTCAATGACTGGAAGCTGATCTCCCCAATCGCTGTTTCTAGCGCAGCGGTACACATCTCTGGAAAAACAATTATTTCACATCAAAACGGCACAGAATATATGTATCAGAAAGTAGTCAAACATCTAAAGAAGGCATCTCCAAAGTTGGTCCTCGAGGGCTGCTGTCCTGCAGGTTTTAGGGGTTTTTTCTCCTTTAGCACAGTTGATTCTGATGATTGCAGTTCAGCAAAAGCCTGTTAATCAACTATTAATGGAAATCAGCTGTGCTGGAGCAGGGAAACCTCTAAAACCTGCAGGACAGCGGCCCTCCAGGACCGACTTTGGAGATGCCTGATCTAAATCATTATTATGTCATAGCTGATTTATTCTAAATGGATTATTGATATTTTATCCAATAAGGTAAGAAATAAATTCTGAAATTTCCTGTTTATTTTTTTACCTTTATGAGAATTAAAATAAAACAGTGGGCCTGAGAACTTTTCCTGATAAGAATTTATGAAAAAATAACTTTCTACCTAATAATCAATGAATCAATAAATCGTATTTATTTCACATTTTAAATGTACACTTATTTTCAAATGATGAATATCATCAACTTGACATCACGGCTGAACACCGAAGGTTTACCAATTACCAGGGCGGTGCAGCTNCCTCTGCAGCTTTAAATGCCTTTTTGACTCCGTGATTGCCTGTCTAAATTTATGTTGGTCCCTTATACCTCCTAGACCCAACCAGGGGATGTAACAGAATCAGACAAGGTGTTTTTTTCTTTTTCCTAACTTGTGACTTTCTGTCAGTGGGACAAAAATGCAGCAAACCAGCAGAACCTATATCTGAATGCACTGGTTCCCTCTGCCACTAGCTTGCCATTACACCGGCTGCCAATTTCCAGCGAGCCTGCACTGCTGCAGACTGGTCCACTCGCCCTACTCAGCCGGATTGGGATTAAACCCCAATCTCGGGGGGGGTACCGCTGAAAATGACACAATATGGAAGTTTTACTTCCTCCGTTCTGTTAGTGGCACACTTGCACGCTCTAATTCAGTATTGTTTTCTAGCTTTTTTTTAGCATTAGCAGATATTTAACTTACCGTAATTTTCGGACTATAAGCAGCACCTGAATATAAGCCGCAGGTTTTTTATGCTTAATTACCATATGATTCATGCACAGAGAGGATTGTCAGGAAAGAGGCAACTGTTTGGGGAAGCTCCTATTTATTAACATTTCAAGACAATTGAATTGAGACAATTCTTCCTGCTGGCGTCTTCAACGTATCACCATTGACTCGTTGATTCCAA